AAGCAGTGAATTTCTGTTTTCTCAGACAAGGGTGTTTCAGTGCACATCCCCCTTTGCACTCCTAAGACTTATTCAACATTGCCAGGGTACTATTTGTCCTTCAGAAAGAGGTATGTGCATAGCAGGCACTATTTACTTATTAGCATTTAAAAGCTGCTTAGTCTTTCAGGTATACTGAATGCAGTGTTGGATTGTGTTCATGGGATTTCTGTAGATCTGCATGGATGCGTAGCAGATCAGTCCTGGTGAATTTTGTCAAGCGGATTGTCTTAGAAGACATGAAAAAGAAGGCAACCAGTCTCTTCCCAGTGCTGCTTTCAGTGCTGCATTTTTGACAAATGAACTCTGCTCTTTACAAAACATGGGTGGAAACCAACGCCAGCCAAACAGTCTTCCTATTCTCCTGAAACACCCAGAAGTTTTCTCCAGAGGGTTTAGGGAACCTTCCACAACAGATTGAGGTGGGGGCTGTAGTGGGAGGAAAGAAGCAGGAAGCCCAGTTGTGCAATGTTGAATGTAGCCCACAACAATCTTGTTAGAAAACTATTTTTTTTAAATGCAAGAAATGCTGCACACATTCTGTTTTATGGAAAGTTGCTTTGATATACAGTGAGCTGTAGGATCAACTAAATTCTACATCTCAATCCGCAAAGCAAAAGTGTAAGAAGCCAGGGGCTTTACTAAGATCAAAGAAAGCGAAAGTAATTGGCAAAGTTCAAGCATCATTACAAAGTTTATAATGATGAGAACAAACCTAGTCTCTTCTCGGGCTCACACATACCTCTCTCATCTCCTCCAGATTGGGAGCTTTTGCTTCCATTCTAGATTAACTGCAATTTGGCACGCTCTTGCACCCTAAACTATGGTTAATCTTAACTATGATTTGTCTGAAAAAAGACAGCTTCATAACTCATGGTTTGAAGTTGGCTTGTTTTGAACAAATCATAGTTAGAATACTACAATTTGTTTGAAGAACACAAGCCACAATGAATAAAAAAAAATAGAGATGAAAGCTGCCATTGCCTCCTCTCACAAACAGTGGAAGAGAGAGGAGGTTTGGCTCATTCTTGTCACCATAAGTCTTGGCTTATTGTAATGTCTGAACGCATCCATGCTGTGTGTACTAGTTGTTGAAAATTAAGGAAAACAAGGATAAAGAGATGATTATTTTAAAACCTGAAATAAACATCCATTCATGAATTCACCATATGCAAGCCTGCGTCTCCAACACCAATTTATACAGCAGTAAATACCTGACTATATGTAGAAGGTGCAATATGAAGAAGTTATTAGCAGCATTTGTTGGGGCCAAAGGGCAGTCTATAAATTTCAGATTATTATTTTTTAAGTGTATCTTCAAAAGTATATTTCTTACTTTTTGCCTTTTTCCTTCTCATGCTTCCCCTAGTGACCGACTGTCCCTTCCAAGAGAAACCCATCTCACCCTTTTGAGAACCATGGAATTAGTTCCAACTATACTCTCAGTTCTTTTCATTTTCTCGTGAATTAATTTTTAAAACATATTTTAGGGAAGGCTTGCGGAAATTGTCTGAAGACACACATGGAAGTCTAGTTTATGTATTTTTGAGAAATCTTTCATAACAAGCTGTAATTGTTGCATCGTCTCTATCCTCCTACATGCAGTGGTGTTCGTAAAACCCAAGCTGTGGATCAGCTCTTTATATTTTCTCTTAATTCAACTGCATGGCAAAGAACCAAATTTCACAGAAGAAAACATTACCAACTTGTCTTCATGACAGAACACTGAGTAGGTATAAAATTGTGATGGTCTCTATGCCAGGTTTTGTTTTCTGTGTGTTGTTGTTTCTTTTTTTCTTTCTTTTTTTTAAAAAAACAACCTCTCTGCTTCTAAGATGAAAGCCTAATTTGATATTTTTGTAGTTATATAACAGTAATATTTTGTGACATTTTGTATTGTGACACTATAGATGAAATTGTCATCGGACTGACACCCTTTACTGTTTATTCCTTAATTACAACTGTTAACAACACTGCAGAGAAGCGTGCTAATCTGCCATCACATATTATGAAAACAACGTTATTGTTACAAACACCAACACCCACTCAACAGGATAGTTCTAAGACGGCAGTTTCTGTTAATTTTTTTTTTTTTAAAAAAAACCTGATTAGTTTAATGGACACTTCAGTAGCAAAGGGGGTAAAAAGTTGACAGCAAACTTCTAGCCACCTTATTTTAAAATGGAAACATTTATGGAATGGCAATTTAGAAGTGATTATTGGTTGGTACATTTTAAAGTAATTTAAATTTAGCTATCCAGGTTACTCCCTGAAGTTATGTTTATACATCTTTTCCCCCAACCTCCCCAGCTTTCAAATCTTTTAGTAAAACATGTGGCGGCAGTGTGTCTGCTCCCTCTGCTGGCCATACATCTTGCTAATTGCCTCCTTGCTCTCATCGTCCCTCCATGGAATTTTGTAAGTCTAGCTGCCACTATCCCACAATCATCTTGCTGGTGGTGGTGCGTCTTGCTCTTCACAGCCCAAGAACTAAAGGAAATTGTCCACTTGATGAGAGGAAACTCTCAACTGAAGCATCATGGGGCAAGCTAGCTATATCACTAGGAAACAAAGGACAAACATACCTCACTAAAGGGACCATAGGAGCCAATTCCCAGGGGCCGTGGGGGCTTTGGCCCCCACAAAGTTGATGGGGATTCCCATTCAAATGGTGTTTGTGTGTGCACTGTGTCATGTGGGGTGGGGCTTACCTGGGCCCCCACAATATTTTATTCAAGTTGGCACCCCTGAAAGGGACAGGGGAAAGCACTCGTTACCTCTGCTATATATGTTTACCTAAATTCTGCCCCTTGTCCAAAATTGGTCCGCGTGTTTGTTATTGGATACCCTATGGAATAGCAGAAGTTAAATTGCATTTATCAGGCAAATGCAAGAGTGTACAATTCTAAAAATAATAATCATTTTCAATGAATGTTGGAAGGCTCCATCTGGGCTAGATTCAACTAACAAGTTTCAGAGGAAGCTAGCATAAAGACTCCCACTAGTGCAACAGGGCTTTCCCTTCCTCTCCCCTCCAGTGGCTGCCCAAAATCTGTTTCAGAGGATTGAGAGAACCGCCAGAACACAACATGGGGGGAGGAAAGGGGGTATGTTCCATGGAGCAAGCAGAAATGCTTGCACTGATGGAAAGATCTCCTTAGCACTATGTTGAATTCCACCCAAGGTGGTGAGGTCAACTCAGTCAGAAGCCAAGTACTCAGCCAGTGTGTGGTGTATTGCACAAAGACCAGGGAAATGTAGGTTCCAAATCTCAGGCAAACAGTTTACTGGGTGGCCTCTGGATTGTCAATCTCATTAGATTTAACTACCTGAAATGGTTGTTGTGAGGATAAAAGAAGGGATGTTTTTTTCAGCTATGGGCTATCAGAAGCTTATCTTGTGAATTCATCTTATCATATGTACATGACTGTTTTTTGGTTTTTTTACACTGGTGAAATCCCACAGTTGCTTATTCAGTCCTGAAGTCTTCCTGCAGGTAATGATATATTATATACACAGATGAAAAACTAACTTATTAGGGGGGAAAATCCAAAAAATGAAAAATCCCATGATAGCCTCTTAGTACCTCCATAGCCAAGCACTATTGTTGTCATCACCATATCAAAAGTATTTACAGTGCTTAATTAATAGTAGTGACACACTACTCTTGCATCTGATTGTTGCTAGTTTACTGGTGGTAGTAACTACATGTCAGGCAGAATATATATATTCTGCCTGAAATGTAGTTTTATACATACACACACTTAGGAAGAAGAAATAGCTTTGCTGCTATAATAATAATAATAATAATAATAATAATAATAATAATAAAATAATAATAATAATAATAATTTATTTATTATTTATACCCCGCCTATCTGGCTGGGCTTCCCCAGCCACTCTGGGCGGCTTCCAACAAAATATTAAAAGACATTCTCAACCATTTCTGGTATATCTTTGTCTGTGCATGGATCTCATAGATGGATGGCATAATTGTCTATTAAACCTCTAGTGCAAAATGAAACTAATTTTCCTCCTTGCATTTTAGCTCTGAGGATCTCCATGCCTCTCACCTTGAACCATTTGTGATTTATAAGAAACTAAGGTCCTTAATAGTAAAGTGCAAAAGGCACATATAGATCTTAACCTGCTAGTTATACTCCATGGCTCAGAGCTGCTGAATAATACAAAATAAGGGGTTACTTTACTATTAAGATCAAGGTATGACAAATTATAGATGCGTTTCTTCAACAATTTTAAGTCGACAAAATATGTCAACATAAAATATAGTTTAATATGGCCTTTTATTTCTGTATACTTTTGATGGAGAATCTATCCCAAACACAAAGCTGAGTTCAGTGCTGGAAAATTCTAAAATCCCGCGGTTAAATCCTGTTACATCAGCTGGATCCAAACTGAAATACAGTATGAGCGCGGAGCAATATTTAGCCACATAAGATATGTCTATAGACCAAACATGACTGGGGAGGTGGGCATGGTTAAATTATGTGGGAATGTTAAAATTCCTTGGGTTTCTTCTTCAGCCTCTGTCACTCAGGGTTCTGTTTAAGTCCCCAGCCACCAGCTAAACCCAGCTTGCCGAAATTATGGGAAATGCATGCCTTACTCATGAAACAAATCTTCTCATGGGACAGTCGGATTGGCATGTGCTTCCACTTTTATTGGGAAAAGACGCCTCTCCTTCATAAAAGTGAAGGATAAGATTCCATATTTGCTCATCTTGACTAAACAGTTGAACGGCTGAGTTTTCATCTTGATGTCTGATGTCTTCCATGTTTGATACAAAGGTCACTCTCCTGTAGATAAACAGGCTGATGAGGGAAAACTCTTCATTGTCGATTCAGAATTCATGTAGCTTATCCAACAAAAATTTAAAGAACCATTTAATAACCCACCATTTGGAAGAATGAGCAAATCCTTCCCACAGACCTGATTTTCGTTTATCTCTTGGGGGGACCTGTGTTTTGCTTTGTTGGCTTGATTTTTCTAACCCCGATAGGGGCTTGTGTTCTTCCTAAAAAAAATGGCTCCCACTTAGGGATGGATTCTTCTACTTTTGCCCAGTAAAGAGTCTAGAAAAGACATAACACAATATGCAATTTAACTTGGCTTCACAACATAATCTACTTTGTTTACCAGCCCATCACAAAACAATCCAAACATAAAATGTGTCATTAAAGCCTGTTTTACGTGTGAAGTAATTTAGAAAAGGCCAAACTACTTTGGTGCTAATTCTCAAATCCCTCAATTATACAATATAATGGAGGCTGGAAGGATTTCAATGCCTGGAGTAAAATTGCAATGATTGGATGTGCCCTCTTGTGGTGAATAATGTATTAGAATAGTAATCCTTGAACGTTATAATTGTTTCCTTCATTTATACGCAGGAGTTATATTTTTCAGAATCACAAGGTTATTCCCAGAATTCTTAACAATAAAGCCCTTATCTAAAACATTTTAACTATGTAGTTGCTAGAAAGGTCTGGCAGGTACATAAATACAAGGATTTTAAAGGATTTTGAGGTAATTGGGTTAAAATAGTTTGAGGATGTTTTATGTGTTATAAAGCCACAACACCAAAATAATGGCAACATGGTTCAGAACAAAATTGAAAATGTCTAGGGCTTGCAAAGTTGCTCTCGCTTTAGCCATCCGAATTTATAGTCACTAAGACCCAGAGTGAGAGGAGTAGAGCCTTGTCTCTGGGTGTCAGAGAGCCTGCAAAGTGCCCAGCCAACTCTCAGGAGGAAGTCTGTGGTTGTCTCTATATTGCTCAGTTTCTGAGGTTATTTGACCACCTCTGAGAAACCTGGACATTAGGACAAAGGCAGAGGATTGTTCCCTCAGTCATACTGTGTCTTGGATGTACTCCTTTAAGTTTGGAGAACTTTTGAAATACAGCACAGTGCGGGTGAGGGGACAATGTTGAAACTCTACTGAGAAAACGCCAAAATATGAATCAAGTGATAATGGAAATACAGCTTTGAACCTCATGAATCCCAATATGTTCTGGATTCTGAAAACAGCAGTGTACAATGTATTGGAAACGCAAACTGTGACATAACATAAATAGAATTTAACGTCCAACTAATGGAGTATTAGAGGCTGCATTTCTATTCCAGTAAAGAATCTTAAATATAATGAAATCATCCGAAGAGGCTGCAGAGCACCAGGGGCACAGCAGTGATTGCATTTTAAAACCATGTTGTCATTTAACAACATCATGAAGAGCTTAAGGTAGCAGTAGCCAATGTGGTTGCCCTCCAGATGTCGATGGGCTCACCCTTCAGCCCCAGCCATCATGACCAATGGTCAAGAATGAAAGCAGTTGGAGCACAATGCCATCTGGAGGTCACTATGTTGGCAATCTTTGGCTTAAAAGTTTGCATTAAAGACTATGGAAAGCTGGGAGTTTGGCCTTAGGCTTACCTCAAGATTAACAATGTCAGGGTGCAGAAGTAAGTGGTCTCTCGACTGTAGCTTTTTCCCTGCTGTTTTTATATCCTGCAACACATGAAGCACCAGAATTCACACACATGCAACAAAGCTGCAATATTATATACTGGGGCGAGGAATGTCAGGTCTGGAGGCCAAACGGGCCCTCCAGGTCTCTTTTATCTGGCCCTCAGAACTCTCTCCGGGCCACTCCTGTGGCAACATCCTTTTCCCTCAGGCCACTCCCTGCACCAGCCCTATTCCATGTCCTCCTCAAATGCTTTGGTCTGGCTAGAATGGGTCTGTGGACTGCAATAATTACTTTTGCTTGTTGGATAAAAGATGGAGAGATACATATGTGTGGAAATCCCTGACTTTTCCATGCGTGGAATGTAGACTACCTGTCAGGCGTCAGAGGATCCAACCCCCCATGGTAGGTTGCCAGGAATGGCTAAGACAAGGAAAGTTCTTACCAATGTTGTTTATTCAATATTCACAGAGAGAGGCTTAGAAATGCAGCCTCTTGGAGTAATGGTGTTGCTCTGAGTAAATCTCCACCCCCTTCTCTCCTAGTTCTTCATTCGTCAACAGCACCACCCACCTTACAGTGGCCGCTTAGGGCCATCTGTCTCTGAGCCCTTTGCTCTCCTACTTTCAATGCTTGCTGGGTTCTGGGAGGGGGGTGTCCGGAATGCTTACTAGTGACAACTTGTCAGCCAGCTGTTCTGGCTTTTCCACAATTTCCCAGCTTTTCCCCTCATCCGCTTCTGAGTTGTGACCCCCCGCAAACCACTGTTGTAAATCTATACTGTCTTCCTCTTCTCTGGAAGGTTCAGGCTAGGGCGGCGGCCTCCACCATTCCCCCTCTATCCAGTCCCTGACACTACTGTACAAAGGCAAGAGTCACACCCATTGTTCCACCCTCTGTATCCTATCCTACCCATTATCCCACCCAGATCCCAGACAGCTGCCATGAGGGAATATAACACACACGCTGAATGTTTCCCCACCTGTGCTAAACACACTTAGCTGGGAATAAGTCCCATTGAACTCGGTAAGGCTTACTTCTGACTAAACATGTACTGGAATGCATCGCTAAGCAGATTAAAAAAAAAAAGGAGTCATGGAAGTCAAAATACTTCTGTAGCCATACATGCTGTAAGTAATGTATAAGTGTCAGGGACAGGGCAGAGCAGGAATGTTGGAGACCGCCTCCCCATCCTGACCCTTCCAGGGAGGAAGAAGAGGAAGACAGTATAGATCAGGGGTCAGCAAACTTTTTTGGGAGGGGGCTGTACACCGTCCCCCAGTCCTTTTGGTGGGCCTGACTGTGCATGCATGCGACGGAAAGGACTTTTCTCTCTCCCCCAGCCCTCCCTTCCCCCTGCCTACCTTCTCCGCCGCTCTGCTTGCAGTTGGGAGCTGGTGGCAGTGGTCTCCTTTCTGTGCCAGCTTTCCCTTGGCAGGCAGCGAGGCTTCCTATTAAAGCCCAGCCCCCTTCCTCCGCAGGGAGGGGAGAAGCCAGGAAGAGGAAGGGAGGAGGGGCCGCCGCAGTGTATGTGTGTGTGTGGGGGGGGGGAAATCACGAAAAAAATGTTGCTTGAAAAAATGTTTTTTAAAATGGCGATCGCGCCGATCCAAGCGGTGACTCCAGAACTGTCCGCAGGCTGGATCCAGAGGGCAATTGGGACTGATCCGGCCCACAGCCCTAAGTTTGCCAACCTCTGGTATAGATTTACAACACAGGTTTGAAGGAGATCACAGCTCAGAGGTAGGTGAGGGGGAAAGCTGGGAAATCATGGGACAACCAGAACAACACCCAGTTGACACGTTGTCATTAGAAAGCATTCCAGACCCTCCATCTCCCAGAACCTGGAGAGCCTTAAAAGTAGGAGAGAAAAGAGCTCAAAGACAGAGGGCATGTGGCAGCATGAGTAGAAAAGACGATGAGAGTGACGAATGAGGAAGTGGGAGAGACGGTGGGTGGGGTGGAGATTCACTCAGGACAACGCCATTATCCAAGAGGCTGAGTTCTATAGCCCCTCTCTGCAAAGATTGAAATAAAATAGGATGGTAAGAAACTTTTCCTTGTCTTTATACCTTCCTGGGCAACCAGCTGGGAGCCTCTGACAGCATCCTGACAATAAGTGATATCAATGTACATGGTACCTGTACAGAAGAGGCATAAAAAAATCACAGATCACTGTCCCAAGTAATATACAATCTAAAGAGAAGATAAGATAAGATAAGGAAAGAACAAGGGCTTTAAAATCATAATACTCTTTTTAGATCAGCACCATTAGCTTCGTGTATGTTTCCAAGCTTAGTTCAAGATTCTAGTTAACACCTTTAAAATCCTAAAATGCTTAGGACCATGGTGCATAAGGACTGACATCTCCAGAAAGACAGGGATGCATGAGAGGGACTCTCAAGAGAGGATACACTCGGTTAGTGTATCCCTGCCCTAAAAGATAAATTTGCATCACTTGGTCTCCCAATAAATACCTTCTTTGATTTTGGCAAAACTCCATCTGACCAGTGTCTGATTTTATTATACTTGGTAAGCAAGACACTTCACAGAAATTGTAAAGTTTTGAGAAAATGTACAAACCCTAAAAATGTCCAAAAAACCAGCAACAATTTGGATGAGTATCTTTACTGGTGTGTTAGTTCCAATAATCTTATGAAAAGCATTTTTTTGCTATTCTCCAGCAACTGATTTCCCCATTCAGCAGTGGCTTTGCATACAGGGATCAGCTGTTTCACATACTTCAACAAAGCTATTATATCAACAAGAAGAAGACACTGCACAGGAAAGTGGTTCATGCATGACTGAGCAAGAAGAAAAAACAACTATCGAAACAGTTTATCCAATAAGTTACAATTTTATTGGAATTGAAGGCTCTGCTGATCGATTGAATAAGTTAAGTGCTTAAGAATAGAGGTGTGTAGCCAGAACAACTGTTGTTATACTAGCATTGTGGATATGCCACCAATGCAGACAGACATTCCAGTGCTCCTTGCGGGCCCCTTTTATATTTATAACTTTTATTATTTTCAAGGGATTTGGGGAAAGTAAAAAGAAATCCCAGAATTAAGTCTTCATTATTGAACCAGCATTTTGTGGCTAGCAAACATTTTTTAAAAAAATATATATGTAGGGTTGGGGTATTAGATTTCTTGACACGTGTCACCACTGAAACCAGCTTCTTCCATTCCAGCTCCTTGAATCTGCTCTTGTTCTTAAATAGTTTCCTTTGTCTCTTGGTCACAGGTACGTGAGAGTCAACTAATGACCAAAAGGAGTCAAAGCTTCAAAAGCTCTTTACAAGTCTCAAGACACAAATGTGCACCTGTATGTTGGCTGGAAAGGATCTCTGCTGTGGGTGTCCTGAGGATGAACGTTCTTCTGCAGCTCTTCCTGGTACCCATGGGCCGTTTCATTTCCTACCTCCTTTTTTTTACTGTATATGAGATAGCTCTCACTCATGGCAATGGGTGTTCAAAAATACGTTATACCCGGCAATGTTGCATCCCTACCTCCCTGGAAACATCTAAATCTCTCAAACGCGGTTGTCTTAGAAAGTGAAGACAAATCCTTCAAGGAAGGAACTTTGAGGAATAAGGTATGCAACATGACAGAGATTTTAAATGAATCAGCTGTACCCTGACAAACACCCTTCAGACTTTGAGAGTTGTTTTTATTACTGAGGTACTTTTTACTGAGAGCGCTGACTGCATGATTTGAACTTTATGCGCTGGGGGTAATTTACAGTTAAGATGATTCACCATTTGGAGCGAAAGCATTTGCTGCGCACATGTGATGAAGCCAATATTCTTTCCGAAAGAAAGCCACAAAGTAACGGAGCTGCAAAGACAGACAGCAATTTTGTTGAAGCTCTTCCCTGCTCAAGACAAAGATGACTTGCTAATATGCATGCATAACATGTGCACAAAGATGTAGAAAGGCAGCAAGCTGTTCACCAGACATTCAAACTCCAATGAAAACTCACCTCTATTAGCTTTTCTGAGGAAATTTGCACATGGGCTTCCACTTTCCATGTGTTGGGTTCACAGAGAACTAGACTCAATCTGGGGGCGGGAGGGGGAAGCACCTCCTCGAAGCTGTGACACCCCCCTCTTTTTTGTGGGCTTTCATACACAAACATTAAAGAGATCAAGCGCAGGCCTTTTGGGCAAATTAAGAGAGATGGGAAGGGGCGTGGGAGTGGGGTGTGAAGGAGCCAGTGCTGAACAGAGATGGAAGGAGAGAGCATAGCAGATGGCATCGTCGGGAGCAGAGAGTGAGTGTGAAGAGTAAGGCATTTTTTAAAAATTAAGTTAAAAAAAGGAGGAAATTCCCCAAAGGGACTTCCCATCATTCCCAAAATATGGCAGCTCAGAAGAATAGGGATCCTGGTGCAACGGGATCAAAACAAAGAGACGCTCGCCAGGAGCGGAGGAGCAACTTGGAATATCACCGTAAAATTAAAACCAGCCTAAACAGGGGTTGTGAGATCTAGACCCAATTTATTGCAGGCAGCAATGGAAAAGGAATGACGAAGTGAGCGATTGTGAACATGATGAGACAGGGGAGGAAATGCAAGATAACCTTTCCTCCTTCCCACACTCATGCATTTATAGAAGTGTAAGACCCTCCCGATTTTGCTAAAAGGGGTGGTTCACAATGTCGGACTAACAGCTCCAGAGATTAAATGACAGAACAGATGCACCATGAAATGCAGACTCTTACGACACCTATCAAAACGTTTTCTCCTTGGCCTGAAGAGATCAACTGTCATGATAGCAAGACACCTCAGACTCCATTTAACCCTGGTTTTCTAGGGTGTTGTATGGCAAAGTATTCTTACTGCAACACGCTCCACTCCACAGCACTGCTCTTAGGAAGATTTCCACAGCATTACGCAATCCTGTCCAAAATCATTTCAGCGGCTACTTTGTTTCAAAAAAATATATATGATGGTAGGAAAGGAAAGTACAGTACTTTGGGGCAAGAGAAAATAGCTCTGGCTGGCTTGGTTTTAGTTGAGAAGGGCACTTTGGCACAGCCTACATACCAGATGTGTCTTTTTGTTGCTCCTATCCAGTTTTAGCATATTTTGAAGTCTATTGTCATCCAGAACACTGATTTAATGACAGGAACTGACAGAATTTGTTGCTGGGAGCTGAAATGTGCCTTGGGGGTAGGATGATGTCTCTGAAAGATTAGATGGCACCTTTGCATGCTGCTGATAGCTAAAGGCAACCATGTCTTTTGTATGTGTCTTTTCCCTTTAAGGTTTGGCAACAGGGTTTGCTTTTGGCAAACCTTTTCAATATTTTAAAAGTCAGCAGTAATATAATATGCCTTTGGCATATCAAGTGCAGCTTTTTTGGACACTGCGATATAAAACATTTTGGGTTTTTAAAAGTTTCAAAAGGCAGCAGGGAGTAAAGGGAACAGAGAAGGTGACAAGTAAAGGCCACATATAGCCCCTTGGAAGTCTACTAAATACCACTAGCTTCAGGTGATGAGGGAAAATACTACAAATCTACAATGCTGCTCCAGGAACAGTGCTTCAAAATACCTTCAGAAAAGATTCAGCACTGCCTATACTTCTAAAAGCTTACTTAACTTATCACATCTGTTTCTCACACATCTTCCCATTTTATAATTATGACAACCCTGTGAGGTAGGCTAGGCTGAGAGAGAGAGTGATTGTTATGAGGTGAAGTTCAGTGAAGTTCAGAAAGGATTTGAATCTAAACATTCTCAGTCCACATCCAGCAGTCTGTCTTTCACACGGGCTCCATTTAGTATTAAACAATTCACTGCTTTAGATTCTGTGCCATGTAATAAAATGAGACAGTACATTACCAATTAGCCAATCCCTCTCCTCAGATGGCATTGATGTGATTTCTGCTAAACAATGATGGACTTATGCGGTCCTGAGTGTGGTGCATTCTTAGCTTTGTAAGGCCATTTTTAATTTGTTTAAGAAACTTAACTCCTTGGTAGCCTCTGAAAAGGTAACTATTTCCCCAAAGTGATGCAGAATAAATCACCGAAAAACAAATATCAAAATTGACCATTCGAATATTAAATCATTCGTATAAACCATTTTATTCCAAGCTAGTCAAAAATCTATAGAGTCCTAACTCGGAGCCACTGAAAAATATACAATAACAAATATATTAACCTACCCTCTTAATTAAAAGCAGACTGAAATGAAACATCTTCAGGGATTATCTAAAAGAGAACAGCAAGGGAGACAATCGTACCAATAGGGGGAAGGATTGAGAAAGGGAAGGAATTCGACTAAGAACAAAGGGCCCATCTTTCGTATTGGCCTTCCTAACCACCACTACTAACAGGCATATAAGCAAGGCCTCTGGAACTGATCTCAGTCAGTTCAGTCCTGTCATAAATGACTCAGATTTAAACTGGCTCTAATGAAATTGAATCTTTAGCAAAAGAGTGAAGTAGCATCAAAGGTGGGAACAGACTGAATTCATATGTTAACAGTTCCTGTACATTATCTGATACAGAGGTGCCATCAAGAGAGCACACACTGTTGCATAGTGGGTGGCGGTTAGCTTTTGAAGAACGTTTATTGATTAGGTGGTATCCACACAATGAGGAAAAGATCTCACCTGATCTGCACTGGGGGAATTATTTCAGTTTGTGATAGGACAGAACAGTGAAGCTATTGAGCACTTGTATCTTGGCCTCGATAAATTAAAGAAGAGCATCCCCGAGTACGTTTTAATGAAGTTTGTGAACTGGGTAGCATACTATCAGGCATTTTAAGAAATAAGGAGCATCTAGCTGAAGAACATAAATAACTTCATTCATTGATTTCCATGCGATTTAACCAGAAGTGCAGATGGAAAGGCAAAACAAGGTTTCTAATATTAGAAAATAATCTGTCTTGGGAAGATGGAATCTAATCTAATTTGGAAGCTTAAAAGTTGCAAATGATGCTTATGGTGTTCAAGAGGTATTACCAGCTTTGTTAGTGATACCACCCTCCTCTGTCTTATTTATATATTTTTATTTATATTTGTTTAGTTTATTTATATACCATTTTGTATTTCAGCAGAAATCTCTAAGTGGCTTACATACCCCAACAAGGAGGAAGCAAAAGAAGAAATAAATACAAATTCCACATTCAAAATCTACAATACTACTTCTCATTCCATATTTTAAAGAGAGTATGGCAAGGTTTGAGAGCACATCTGACCGATTGCCTAATTTTACAGCAATCTAGTATCAGACACTTACTTGCTGCTCTTTTGTCAGTCATAGATGTATTTCCTGGCTGTGGGTGGAGTTAATTAATCAGTTTTTGTATTTATAATTATTTCACAATAACTGTAATTTTAATCTAGTAGTACCCATCTTAAGGAATTGTGTGTGAGAGAAGGAAGTACTATTACTGCTACTACTACTACTACTACTACTAGCCTTTACTGGCATAAGTTAAAACAGTAAAATTATAAAATTATACAAAGCCACCCATATACATTGATAATCCAAACACATGCAATATATAAAAGACTAGATAGCCACCAATGAATAAACCAGACAACTTTAGATTTAGTTTTAAAGATGGAAGTATTATCCTAGCCTTCAAAAATACTGGATTAACTGCTCAATCCTTAAGTAGAAACAGGTCCCAGTGACCCACTCTCAAATACGTGTACATAGGATTGCAACCCAAATGCCTTTGAATGTCAAAGAATCAATTTATTTCAGTTTTTAAATTCTACTCCCTTTAATAAAACCAACAGAACAAGCCAATTTTTAATACTTGTGTTCCAGCCATTTCTGTTTTGGAAGTACAAAATTCTAGTTGTAACCAAGAGAGCAGTAATAACTCTTTTCATAGCTAAAAGCATAACAGAAGTAATTTTACTCAATTTCATTTGAATGCAGGCAAATACAATGACACCTCATCATGGCATCGGTGTATTTCTGAGAAAGCCAAATTAACAACTCTCCACATGGTAACTGTGAAATGTACAATGCCTGCTATCGGGAATAATTTTTAAAAGTTGGCACATAAATCTGAACCTTATTTTCAAGGTTCTAATATAATATTCTGCATGGATCTCGTTCCTGTTTTATTTTGTTATCAGAAAGCATCTGCAGTGCTGCATGCCTGTTAAAGCCAGAATAAAATTAATACATCTAAACTCACTAAAGTTGCATTTTCCTGCCAGACAATTTGTTTTGATGGTCATACATATGCTTTTATTGCTTCCTCAAATGTTCTAACATTTTTGACACTTGAGAGAAATTATTCAGCGCACTGTGATGGTAAACAGCGAATATTCTGCACTAACGTAAAAGAGCTTATAATATTTTACCTACAGGTATCAACAGACTACTATTATCATCTCACTGTAAGCAACTGTTTTCATCTGTATACCTGGGGGCTAAAAATACATATATAGGGTGATATTCAACTAAATCGTATTCAAAGTAAACCCACCAAAATTAATGAACACGTCCATTTATTTCAATGGGTCTACTCTGAGTATGACTAACACTGGCTATCACCGTCCCCAAAAATGTCAGTTACATAGGAATTGTTATATGTAAAACTTTTTTTGAAATATGTGCATGGTTTCAGCAAGTTGCATTATGTGTGTTCTTTCCTCACCAATGTGGAATGCAAAATATATAAACAATAGCAGGGGTCAACAACCTTTTTCAGCCGTGGGCCGGTCCACCATCCCTCAGACCATGTGGTGGGCTGGACTATATTTTTTTTGGGGGGGGGAAATGAACAAATTCCTATGCCCCACAAATAACCCAGAGATGCATTTTAAATAAAAGGACACATTCTACTCATGTAAAAACACGCTGATTCCCGGACAGTCTGCGGGCCGGATTGAGAAGGCGATTGGGCCGCATTCGGCCCCCGGGCCTTAGGTTGCCTACCCCTGAGCTATAGGATCAACCTGGTATTCATCACAGAGCAGCAAATTCATCATTGGTCCCTGCTTCACATTGTTGAAGTAGCATATATATCCTGATCTACCCATAGGGTGGCCTTCTATATATATCAGATGTAGAAATAGAGCAGACATCTATATATTGGTACACATGAGGTGAGTGGTCATTGTTTTATGATGTCTTTGTGCATCTGATATACTTAGCTTTATGTGCTATATGGTCTGCCACAGATGGTCGTCCATGGCAAGCCTTCCCCACCCCAAACAAACCTTCATCTTCTCCTATTTTTTCTTTTAAAATATCATATTGGGACTTCTCCAAGCTCTAAACTGCTCATTCTATCAAAATGTAGCCAAATGCCAGTTCTTGTGAAGAACTAGGAGTCCCATCATGTGCAAATTTCCCTTCCTGCTCCTGACAGAAATAATTTCATAGGCACTGAACTGAAAATATGCACAAGAAGGTTACAGAACCCTCAGCTCCAAAAAGAGCAGAGTGGATGAGTGGGTGATCTGTCATAACATGTTTAGAACAAAGCAATTAAAGGGAAGTAATTTCCCATTTCCCAAAGAAAGAGGTGACACATCCCCACTCTTTTGAGACTGTACTGCCCCAGGGATGTCTCTAGAAAAGTAAAACAAAGACACACTGTCACAAAACATGACAGCACAACATGCACTAGAAGAGCAACCAGGTGAATGTTAAGGTATCGTTGCAAATATATATGTATGTCTGTGAGAGATAAAGCAAGTACATATTTCTTTTAAGTGGGGGATGGGAAAGAAATGCCCTACAAAATCAGGGGCATCACAAGGAGGAGTTAGGAAAGTTGCTAGGCCCAATATAACCATAGTGGTTAACAAAGACATGATGGGCTACAGTCACTGGACTAGCTATTTCTTTGAAAAAGAAACTATAAGCTATTTCACAACAGAAGAAAAATCCTTTATATCTAAAAGCAATCTTGTGTTTATGCTTGCCTAAAGGGAAGAGTCAGCAACCAGCCAGTTGGAAATGGTTTCCTTAGAGACAGTCGAACCTGCTGAATTTGAGCCAGACTAAGAAAGAGACGGTAAGATTTCTCATGTCTTGGCTCACTCCTAGAGCAATGTTTTGTCATAAAATTTGTGGAGATGGCCTTTGCTGGAATGGGCAAGCAAGTGCGAAAGAAATATCATGAGCTCATATCACCTTCCTCAGAAGGACTGCAGAAGTGCCCAGAGGACTGATTTAGCTTTGCAGAATGTTCTGTATGAGAGTGAGTAGATAAGTCTTCGTAGCCTGGAGCAGACACAGTATTTCTGCACCTCACTGTTAAATGCTTCAGACATTGCAAGCTAAAATTACTGCTAGAAGAAGCAGAAGACTTTTGTGACAAATAAAATGGTGACATCCAACTTCTGAGACTGTTTCACTCTAGACTCCATCTTTGTTCTCAAAAGGAGAAACACATAAAGGACCACACTTTGGACCACACTGTCAACAGGGAACCTGCCTTTTGGTGGGGAGGGATGTGTTCCTGTGCACATGGTTTCTACCCCTGCATCTCACAGGGTTCCCACCCTCCCAATATATAATCATTCCCTCCATAAACACCTTAGTTGTCATACTGATAGGAAGAATAAAAAATACCTGATCTTAACCAACATGCTGGTAAGCATTTGAGGGCTAAGGACTATGCTGAGAACCAAATGAACCTGAGACCAGATTATCTCAGCATAGCACAAATAGATCGCTTTAAATTATCCTTTATCTTTGGGTGAGAGTCAAGAAACCAGAAATTATTTTTCCACATTCTGGATCAGTCTTAGCTATCTTGGAAGGATAAAGAAAAACAACAGTAAGAGACCCAAGAAACAAAACCATAAACAATTACAAGACCCAGAATATTAAAAAGTGGTACTGCATTACACACCCACACCCACACACCCACACACCCCATTTTCTCTCTCTCTCTCTTTCTCTCTCTCTCCATTTATATTCAGCAGAGGGTAGTTGAGATGACAAATGGAATTCTAAACATCTGAACATTTGCCTCCACTCACACATCTTCATTTGATCTTTAAATAGATATTTGGGCATCATTTTGTTCCGTGTGGGTATGTCAAGGCAGACCTTTTGCTCTAAGAAGCTTACAAATCAATTAATCAATATGGCATCACATATTCTAGGAGACAAAGGAGAAGCAAGGGAGAAAGAACAGGCCCATATAATCAGAGCAACAACAGAGGTGAATAGTTGTGGCTGCAGAATACTGGATATTGGTTAGGGGACTGAGGTAGGGCAATGGAAGACTAGAGAGAAGGTTGCAGTAATTGGGATGAGAGTTAATTTTAAAAAGCGTTTGCGACATTACTGATTATATCAATTATTTCAATTAAGTTTAATGAAGACCCAAAGCCAACATCCTGGAAAAAGGAATATTAACCTAAACACACACTTTTGTTATAGACAAACCTAGTCATTCACCACCTGTGTTTCAGCTTTAGGCAGAGGTGGTTTGGTTTTTTTTACAACCATGACCACAGTCTGGTCACCAAAAGGTTATGTATATTTCCCCCTTACAATCTAGTGGTAAATGAATTTTGTGAAATAAACAAACAAATAAATGACACTCCCTGCCCTATTATGCTCACTGGTGGGATCATGAGTAGGCTCTCCTCTCCCAATCTCACTCCATGGACTTATCAGAATTCAGGTTCACTGAATCCTTTTCACTGATCCTCATCTAGCTAATCACTGCTTCTAGTCACTGGCAAAGCACCTGCACAGCCACTCCTGCTTCAGATGGATTGGAGAGACAGAACAAGAAATAACGCCAAAAGTAAATAAAACACCACAATTAGAAGCATGCAGACAGAGCTAAAACAAGCAAGAAGACGAACAGTAAATCAGCTTTAAAATGCCTGGACAAATAAATAAGTTTTGACACAACACCGAAATGATTGTAACATTGCTAGCAGGGACAGGGAGGAAATTCCAAAGATGAAGTGCCACCAAAGAGAAAGAGTATTTTTTTCCTCCTTTGTTGCTACATAATTAACTTCCCCTGGACATGGAGAAGAGCCTCCTCTGAACATCTTAAGCCTTGGGCAGGTTGCTGCAGGTATTTGAGTCCCAAGCTGTTCAGGACTTTGAAATGAACAGTGTAAAGAATAGCTCATTACACTTCAGTGTTAAGCACCTCTGCTTCCTTCTGCATATGGTCCTGAACAAATTTATCAGTATCTGAAAGCCAGTGTGGTGTAGTAGCTAGAGTAATGACTAGGACCTGGGAGACCAGGGTTCAAATGCTCAGCCAGGAAGCATGCTGGGTGACCCTGAAGCAGTCACTGTCACTGGAGTGGAGAACAATGCATGCCACCTTGAGCTCCTTGGAGGGAAAGGTGGGATATAAATGTAATAAAATTTAATGGAATCAACACAGTGGAAAACACTGTCTTTTAAATGCCATATGGAAATTTCACTATTCAGTTACCGGTTAAAAGTGATGAAAACTTACATTTAAAAGTGCTACATTTCTTTTACGAGCTGCATCAGCTTCTTGTATTTGCCATGTCTTCTCAGCTTCTTTGTCTCCTAAATGACTCTCCATCTGCTGAAGCAACACCATTCTCTGAGACAGTCTACAAAAGGGAAACATTCTGATAAGTGGGCAGACCATTCTTTCTGCACAACAGCAAGAAAAACAGCCACCTTTTACCCTCACCCATTTCTTCTCCAATTATGTTGAATACAGCGTGGGTGCACTGAAGGAGGGGGAAAAGCACAGGAAGTCCCTTACGTGATGTGCTCCTGTGGAGAAAGCAACCATCATGTTGTACAACAAGCAGGCTCTGTGAACAAATGAGACACCCAGCACTGAACACCACCGAAGAGACGTGTGTAAAGCAGAGTTAGGAATAATAACTAACTGTACCATTAGTAATAATATGGGTTAACTGGGTTCTGCTATTGTACATAGCCCATGCTCATATGCAAAAGGCTGTCATTTAAAGGAATATCCATTTATCTTCCTCAGAATCAAGATTTGTAAATAATCAGGTATGCTTTTCCTGAAATAGATGATCTTTTCAATACAGTGGTACCCTGGGTTACATACGCTTCAGGTTACATACGCTTCAGGTTTCAGACTCCGCTAACCCAGAAATAGTACCTCGGATTAAGAACTTTGCTTCAGGATGAGAACAGAAACTGTGCTCCGGTGGCGTGGAGGCAGCAGGAGGCCCCATAGGCGAAAGTGGTGCTTCAGGTTAAGAACAGTTTCAGGTTAAGAACGGACCTCCGGAACGAATTAAGTACTTAAGCCGAGATACCACTGTATTCCCTTCTACAAAGTTTTCCCCCCAAAGTTCCACCTCATTTCCAACTGTACAATAAGGTTCTTTCTACATCCCAAACTAATCAATAGGCTTCAGATCAAAGGCTCTCTGGCTGTTTTTTCCCTACCTACGGATAAGGATAATTCTGCATCCTTGGCTATAATCTCCCACAGAGCAACCAGTAGTGGAAGATTTGATGATCAGGAACAGAGAGAAATGGATTGGTGACAAACTTGATGATGGTATGGTGTATGCCTGCCTGGTGTGAAGGTTGCAAACATCATGCATGGTAGAATGCTACCTGATTTATATGCTGGGCCTGCAGACAGGGTTGTGGGGTCTCAATGCATGGTTAAAGTGGCTGATGAGAGGAATGCTTTAGATTGTTTGTGCATTGTAGAACTTTTGGGGTAAGCCACATTTGTACAAAAAGAGACAGGCCCCTCTTGAACCAGAATGGAAGCAGATTTTGGAGCCTATCAAAAAGGTTGCAAAGCAGCTTTAGAAATACTTTGCTGGGGAAAGCCAACAAAAGCTGTGATGCATCTGCTTTGGGATTACACATCATCATAAGGATGAAAGTGTAAATCTTTCAGAACGTCATGGTGGTAGGGTCTTAAGCAGAGGTCTCTCACTCCCTTTACCTGCTACATTATCCATTTTTTCAGCTGTTGATACCAGGATTGAACCTAGAATTTTCTTCATTCAAAGCATGAGCTCTACAGCTGAGCTGTGGTCCCCCTCCTAAAGCAGGAGTTGGAACCGGTAGTGCTTTACATGTTGCTGGACAACACCTCCCATAATCCTTGACCATTGGCCATGGTGGCTGGAGCTGATGGAATCTAATATGTGGAGATCCACAGGCCCTCCACCGCTGCCCTAAAGCTCAGAAAGTATTTCTTCTGAAGAAGAAAAATATCAGTAAATATCACTTACATTCAATTTCCTGCAAACCATTCTAAGACTCCATATGTCAAATAACATTGCCTCAGTGATTATTTCTTTTCTTAATTAATTCAGTCTAGTCCTATTAAGTCTCCACTTCTTATTACACCCACCACTATTTGTATTGCCCTTGTTGTACTTTGCAAGATTTGCTTTTTCCTCTCTGAGAAGTGATAGTCAGAAATGCACATAAGAGTTTTCACAGATTTTGGTACTAAGCTTATGACAACTTTTATACTCTTTTTACCCTTCCCTAAATTCTCCTTGCCATTTCAGCTGCTGAAGCACACAATGAGGCAGTGTCAAGCTTGTCAGTGATTCTTATACCACAGAAACAGAAGTTCTGCTATATTATATGGCAGGCATCCCCAAACTGGGCCCTCCAGCTGTTTTGGGACTACAACTCCCATCATCCCTAGCTAACAGGACCAGTGGTCAGGGATGATGGGAGTTGTAGTCCCAAAACAGCTGGAGGGCCCAGTTTGGGGATGCCTGTTATATGGGGTTGCTTTTTTAAAGACAAAATGATTACTCATATAGAAGAATAAGTCTTGTTGAGGAGAACCAGCATAGCTTCTAAAAAAATGGCTTGACTAGACTTTTGGAGTTCTTTGAGAGTGTTGCAAAGCACATATATAAGGGTTATCTAGAATACATTATATATTTAATCTTCCAATAATATTTTTGATTGTCCTTCAACCAAAGGCTCCTCTGTAAACTTACTAGTCACAGGATAAGGGGATGGATCAACAGCTGGTTAAATAAGAGGAAGCAGAGATCAGGAATAAATTGCCATTTCTCACAATGGAGGGATGTGAATAGTGAGACCCCCAAGGATCATTACTGAGAACTGTGCTTTATAGCTTGTTCATAAATGATCTGAACTTAGAAGCAAGCAGTGAGCTGGTAAAGTTTACAGACATACCAAATTACTGAGGGTGCTGAAAACAAAACAGGAATGTGAAGAGCTCCAAAAAGATCTTTCCAAACTGAGCAAATAGGCATTAAATTAACATACGAGGGTCAAACAAGAAGTTAGTTACTAACAAAACGGAGATACTAAAGTTTTAAAGCAAACTGTTTCTGCCTTCTTCAGTTGCTCTCCCTTCTTAGGTTACCTTCAAGACCAGAATGACTAGCAGAAACTTATATCAAATAAAATATCATTTGAAGGTCCTATAATGTAATTTACACCACTAGCTGCAACCAGGTTGTCATGTTCAGTACTTGTGTAAAATAACAATGGGTCTAAGCACGTTTTTGGAACCATAAATCCACAATCGGTTAAAAAGCACTTCAATTCAGATGATCACAGCCTCTCTGATGCATCAGTCATTGAAATAAAGATGCCATCAGATCCAGAAACACTGGAAATAGGGAAACTCCCCAGTAAGGAATGTCACCTTAATTAATATCACATTGTCTTAACCTAGGTTCAGCAAATGCCACACCTGAATAATCTGTACCTAGCACCTTGGCCCACAGCACCTTTTGATTCACATCAGAGCAGCTGGAAGGTGGAGCTGGAAGATTTTTTTTTGGTCACAATTTTAAAAAGCATTACAATTCACAATTTTACATTTTACTTTTTGAATGAAAGAACTTAATTATTCAAAGCATAGTAAAACATTGTTATTAATTCAAACATAAATGTTTTATGTTTTAGTGATATATATATGCTGAAATTTTAGTTTCAATATGAAGAAAAAATACTGGACAGAAATGAGGCCTCAGACTGAATTTAAGAAGGCTGAATCCAATTGCTCAGGTTTAGCTAGAATTTAAGTAGAATATTCAATATTAATAGTCAGGCTTTCACTTAGCATTTTTCATCAGAGGAGCAGCACTGGCATCACAGCACCCCCTTGAGGCAATCTTTTTAGTTTTCTATTGTTACAACTTCCAAGAAGCTCAGTTGGGGAAAAATGATACTGGTCTAAGAGACAGGTTACTTTTTCTGGAGTATTTACATAGTAGCAAAAGTCTTTCATACAGAAAAAAGCCCAGTTACACTTAGCCTGGTAAATAAGATCACAAACTGGTATAAATGTAAAAAAAGCCTAGGAAATTATTTCAGATTCTTAGCCACACGTGTCAAACTTTGTGGTGTTTTTTTTCTTTCTCCTAACTCCTAAGAGGCAGGATTTTGTCTGAAATAAATACTTACATTTCTTCATGTCTTTTAGCAAGTTGAACTTCTTGTGCTAAATAGGATGCCATCTTTAGTCATATGACTAATGCCTCAGTTTTACCACTCTGTCAATGAAGAAAAAGAAGCTAAAATTGTTTCTTTAAATATACAGAGAGATACTTCTAGGGAAATCTATTAAAATACAGTGATAAAGCTAAATATAACACAGAACTAGTGGCTACATAACTGCCTTTTAAAAAGTGAAATCTGATTCATGAACATTCTCAGGATCATAATATTGCCGGGGTGTACGGGGTGTTAGGGGAGGGTTAGCTCCTCTGGTGGAGGACACGTTAAGGTCCTTCTCAGGTATTTTGTCCACCTTTGGTCCCCACCCTACATTCAGCTCTCACCTGTTGGCTCCTAGAAGCTGTCAGCATGCGACTACGACCACACCCTGGAAACAGCTTTGACTGGCCAGCTAAACCAAGTAGTCAATTGGTCTCAAACCCTTGGTGAATTAGGGACTTCCCCTGCATGCAAATAGAGGCTCTGATGGATTGGGTGGAAGAGACCAAGAGTAGTTCCAGTGGTCAAGAAGGCAGTTTCTGCACATGCTGCAGAGGGGCCTTGTCAACCTAGGAAGCCCATCTAGGAGAAAGAAAACTATGATCCTAAACCCCCGCTGCCTTGTGGGATATCTTTGGTAGAAGACAAGGCCAAGGAGTAAACACTATACAAATCCAGAGCGGAGTCCCTAAGATGGTTGGATGGCACCTTGTATGCCTCCATCTGGCAACGGCTGCAGCCAAGCTGGTGCCAAAAGTATCACTTTCCTTTGGATCACGTCTGTGAGGCTGAGGGGTGTGTGTGTCTTGTTGTCTGGGCAGCCCAATCCCTCCATGCATACTGCACAGACATGTGTCCCAGGGAAGTCACTTCAGTGATGCTAATGCAGTAGTTTGACTTCACCCCCGCAGGAGAACGCCATTGTCATGAAACAAACAGACGTCAACAACAATACTGCTGGACTGTATTTATGTTAAAGGCACATACTGCTAACCACTTCAGCAAAACTGGACTTGTTGAACAAATGTTTCAGATGTTGGAACGGGCATCAAGTTACTATTAACAATTTAGTGGAACAGACCCCCCATGAGAAGAGGTTGACTCTCATTCCTTTGATGCTTTTAAGCAGAGGTTGGATGGTCATCTGTCATGTATGATCTGGTTGAGATTCCTGCATTACAGGGGGTTGGACTAGATGACCCTTAGGTCTCTTCCAAGTCTACAATTCTCTGTTTCTATGATAATATGGTGCTCAACTCTCCTCACAACCACATCATTATATTTAATGTTTCACATCCTATGTTCTCTCCCAGGTGCACAACAGGAAAATAGAGCTTTGTCCTTGAGTAAATGAGGAATTTGAACCTGGGCCTTTCTGATCCAAGTCCAGCATTCTAGCCATTGTCCCACAATGTTTCCTTTTTGAAAACTGTGCACTCTTCCACAACGTAACTCCTGGGCAGGAACACTCATACAGCCTTTGCTTGTTTGTTTGAAAGGCAAACATCAATAAGTGTTCCTTGTTCAGGTAGTGGTAGCTTTTATGGGAAGGATGTTTAGGTAGCTCTTATGAATCCCTAAAAACAAACACATCTGAAACTGGGCATTAACCCAAGCTTTGCTCTTTTGCAGCTTACTTCAATCCCACTCACAATGTATAGACAAGACTTTTTAAAATGCACCTTTCATTTTTAGAGAAGCTGCTTTCTCTCTCTCCTTCCCTTTTTGAGGTTTGGGGGTGGGCAAAAAGAAAAAGAGAAGCACAGATGTTACCTCCACAGCAAGATATCCTCCTTGTTATATATGAACATATGAAAGATTATGGAAGTTCTGCAGAAAATCTGAAACACACTTGGGACATGCACCCCAATCCAACTGTAACTACATTTAAAAAAAAAGGAATTTACATATGATTAGTTGCACCCGAACAAAGATAGGCATGCACATTCATATGTACTTCCTATCAAATCAATGCAGCACAGATAAGAGCATTCATATTGATGTACATTCTGACAAACAAGAATCTGTATTGCTTTGTCTGTGGCATGGCAGAAGCAGAGGAGGGGCACCCCAGGAACTCTTTTACAAAACCCATAGTTTGTTTTAAACTGTGCTTGAATGTGACACGTGGTCCAGGTGAATATTAGTTAATATTGCATGGTTCCTCAGATATATATGCTGTGCATTTTTTTAAAAAAGTGTCTTCATTTAATGGTTTTATTTCATAACATATTTAACCTGAGATGCCTCTATTCTGAAGAGCAGACTCAACACACAGTCATTTATCAGATTTTTTTTTAAAAAAACTGTACTTACTTTGGAGAAGCAAAGAAAGCATGTCAACATCACTTTGCTGCATGCCTGAACATGTTGAGTTCATTTGGGTATGTACATGAGTGTGGCAATGTTAATGTCATGCACATGCTTGAATGCACTTAAACTATTTCAGTGCAAGTCATTCAATCCTGGAGCAGTCTAGGTAATTCTGGAGCATGCCTGAATATAGCACAAGACTTTTTCTGATCCTTTGTCCTTTCTGCCTCAGTTTATGAGACTAGATCATAACATAGAATGTTGGCATGGAGCATATAACCACCAACTGAAGAAACCATCAACAGCTCCATCAACCATCAGCCCCATATTCTCTGGAACAACTTAAGGCCTGTATGTCTTGAAGGAAAGCAGAAGTGAGGAAATCCAGGCCAGGGAGCTGGTGGCATCAGCTCTTGAAGTCAGCCTCACAATATCTGTTCAGAATATTTGTACCATTCGTTAATATTTTAAATTTTAATTGGATGCCTTGGCAGAAAGACAGTACAGAATTGCAACAAATGAATAAAGAATATATTAATAGTGATCTTAGTTTCCTTACATAGTCAAAGTAGCACCATCTACACACAAGGTGAAGTTATAAGTAGGCTTGGGGGAACCCAAAGGTTTACTGAATGAATGAATGAATGGGGGGGGGGGACTCCCGGGGGAGGGGAGAAACCCTAAAGCAGCCAAAAATGAGGTCTGAGTATGTAATGCTGACTGACCTGTTTTTCTTTGGTGAGGGAAAAGGGAAAATGAATTGTATGAGAGAGAAAATAAAAGCACACCACAATGCAACTTTTTGTTGTAGGTTCCACTTTCTTCTCTGATGTTTAGAGACCTATCTCGCACAAAACGTGGATGTTCATTTTTCTACTCCAAGTCTTGTCAAAATGGGGCTTTAGAGCTCACTCACTTTCATTGGTTAAGGAGACATTCCAACAGCAATTTCTCCAGCGCAGCCCCTCCTCGTGCTCCCTTCTCTCTTTCTCACTGTAATGGGCAAGAACCAGACTTCGCTTCATACTGAGGATAGAGGAGGAATGCAGCTGTAAAGTACATCACCAGCAAAGTTCTCCCTCCAACTTAGGCTTAGGATATATATTAAGGTTTGACTTAACTAGCTGGATATAACATTTATATGCACAGAGACAAAGAAACCTACCAAGATGTATTCACCACCCTGTTGTGAACGGTCACTGTGCTAATCTTGTAACACTTCTGAGCTTCGCACAGGGATGGCAAGCCTGAACCTCTTGCACTGCATGGCCTTTTGGCTTATTTACAACCTTGTGCTGTTATGAAAGCACATGCTGCTGCTGTAACCTTGCTGACACTAAGCATGTCTGTGTCTGGTAAAGTTAAAGGGACCCCTGACAATTAGGTCCAATCGTGACCGACTCTGGGTTTGCGGTGCTCATCTTGCTTTATTGGCCGAGGGAGCCGGCGTACAGCTTCTGGGTTGTGTAGCCAGCATGTCTAAGCCGCTTCTGGAGAACCAGAGCAGTGCACGGAAACGCCATTTACCTTCCCGCCTATTTATCTACTTGCACTTTGACATGCTTTCAAACTGCTAGGTGGGCAGGAGCTGGGACCGAGCAACTGGAGCTCACCCCGTCACAGGGATTCGAACCGCCGACTTTCTGATCGGCAAGTCCTAGGCTCTGTGGTTTAACCCACAGCGCGACCTGCAATTTATACCAAAGCCATACACATGATGTATGTGTACCTTCCAGATGTTTGGTGCTCCAGTTCCCATCAACCCTGGCCAGCGCAGCTAATGGCCAAGGATGATGGGAGCTGGGAGTCTCAAAACACCTGAAGGGCACCACGTTGGCTATCTCTGCAACGCAGCACACAGCATGTTGAGCAGTCCTCAGGCAATGCACCTTGGGAGCTGGGTCAACGATCCTTGATATGGGAGCAAGAGTTATTGGTTGCATGCATGTCCCTGTAGCTCCTTGAAATTCTTGCTCCATCGAACTTTGGTTCCTTCCCCACCCCTGCCTCAGAAATCTGAACTCCGTCCTTTCAACTCCCGCCCTTTCAAGCCCTGTGCGGAGAATACACCATTATGCGAGCGGAGGGGGGAGGAGAACGTTCATTCCAGGAGGAATGAACTACCAGAGAGGGAATGGGGAGGGGGGCTGGAGGAGGAGGAAGGGAGTGGGGACCAGGGCGGAAGAACCCAAGCATGGGAGATTGGAGGGGGGAGCTTGTGGACAGTACCACTAAATGAAGGAAACAGGGGTCATATCTAACAAAGTGAGCAATGAGACCGTACCAAAGCGTGAAGCGTAAAAAAAAGCCTTAGGAGAGCTGTGAGGTGAAAGGAAGCTACCTCCATCGCGACCCGAATCTTTTCCTCTCCCTCTCTCTCTCTTAACTTTTCTTCTCAGTCCATTGCTGCCGTTAGGAGACGCCCAACAACCGTTCCGCTCGACTAGCTGTTATCGCGATACCATAAAAAAAAAAGCGAGCGCGGGAGGGGGAGCAGTAAAAGAGGGCGGCGGTTGAAACCGTTTGATTGGCCGTCTTCCTGTGAAAGGGGCGCGGCTAGGCAAGTAGTGCACAGAACAGGCCCTTTTCCGCACTCGGCGCGCGGTCGCTGTCGTAAGCGGACGAAGAAAGGGGGCGGAGCAAGTCGTTAGCGGCTCTGGGGAAGAAAACCGTTGGGGAAACCTGGGTGGGAGGACGGGCAGGTGATGGAGGAGGAGGGGGTTGCTTTCCCTGGCTCTATTTTCTTCTTTCTCCTTCGGTGAGAGAACCCAGTACGTCAGGTTTCTTGCTTAGGAGGCAAAAAAAAAAAAAAAAAAGGTGTCGAAAAGGTGTGTTTACCGTATGTAATGGTAGTTTGTACCTCAGTATTTTCTTTTATAAGTTTCATATCAATTCCACTCGTCCCCCAACCAGGAACTGCCATTTACACTTCTCAATCTCTAGTCTTGCATCTCTCTTTTCTTGCCCAACAGAATCAGCAGCTTATTGGGGCTTACGTCTGAGTAGACATACTTATGTTTGTGTTTACAAACTGCCAACCTCATAAGTAAGCAACAAGTGCAACCTTATGCAGGTCTAGTCAGGAGCAAGTCCCACTGCGTTCAGTGTGATTTACTCCCTCATAAGTGATGAGGGAAGGCATTTCTCCCCCTGCTGTTCACAATTTATAGCATGTTGAATACTTTATAAACATGCCAACTCAAACTACCCTATAGGAAGGATCCTGCTGAATTGTTACGTCTTGGGGGTCAAGTGAAATCTCCGGTCAGCAAGTGGCAGGGATTGATGGACCAAAGTTTGCACCGCTCACTTTTACAACTTTGCCACTTGTGCCAGCCAGGGTAGAGGGAAAATGTGGTGCTGTGCTGGTGCAGTGAAGAGATTGACTACTGCTGACAGGGGAGGTGATGGTATCTTCCACCTGCCCAATGTTTGGGCTGGCAGATTGGGCTACAGCTTGCCCACAGAGCTTTGCCTCCAATGACAGAGTCGAACAGAGCTGTGCAGAAGGACACCTCTAGCATTGCAGATCAGGTGTTTGGGCTACTGTTTTACTGGTTTGACTTGTAAGCTGCTCTACCAATCCCTAGCCGCAGTTAGATCTGGTGCTTCAATAATATCATTATCAGAGATGTGATTGCTCCTAAAAGGGAATAAGAAATGACTTCTCATGTCTTTTCCTCCTTTAGCAGTATGACATTCTTGCCTCCAGGCCAAAAACGGTGGAATATTCCTGACTGTGCTTTCATGCAGTAATGGCAAATAAGCTTTAAATAACTCATTAAAGCACAGTTTAAGTTACTGCCATAACAAAAGACACATTGATCAAGTAGAAATGAAAGGAATGCCACTCAGCACTTTGGCATACCGTCTGCTGATATTTGGCTGGCTACCTTATAAAGTAATATTGTTAGGATTAATGGGGGGGATCTGAAGATGACTTATACACTGTTTTATCCATGGTGGATGGCCTCTTTGAAGCATCACTGTGGGAAATAGGCTCAAATTCTGCAGTTAGAACTGTCACTATAGGTGGGAGCTCTATTTGAGAGACCATGACCTTTTTTGTTTGTGGCTTAACAAGTTAGTTACATGTTCTACAATGAAAGTTTACATGTATTCTGTTCATTCATGAATGGAGGAACTTCATTAGTAGGGATGGAGAACCAAGGCGGTATGTGGCTCTCCAGACCTTTCTATCTTCTTGAACTCTCCTCCAGGCCACATCCCACACTAGATTTGAACATTCCTTGGGTGTTTTTGCTGCACTGCAGTGTGTCCTTGAACTTTGATTCTTGCTTGCCTGAATGGAGGATTGAGGTGGGTGGGTGGGTGTGGGTGTAGAAACTAGCATACTGTGCAGGTGTGGGCTGTTGCTGGGTCATCACCAAAGGAACACAGACTAGGGGCAAGAGCTGATGAATTTTGGTTGATAATGTTTGTGGCCTGATACATATTTTAGATCTTTACTGTAAAGCAGGGGTGAATAACTGATGGACATATATACAACCTCAGAGGCAGGAAAGGTGGGCATGGTATGCCCCAAATTACCTGGTAGGCCTATCTCTGATACCTGGTGGGTTTAATTAGGCCTGCAGGCAGGAGGATCCTTGTCCCTGTCCTACAGGGCATGTGGTAGCAATTTTTTAAAAAACAAATCATTAGATTTTAAAAATATAGAGCATTGGCCTCTATTTAAAAATAGAGAACAATTGAAGAGCATTGACCTCGAAAATATTATAAACTGGAAATTGCCTCATTGGCATAAGTGTTTATCTACAGCTTTAATGTCTTATGAAAAGACATTTGTTAATTTTAACACTAGGTGGCAGTTAAACACAACTAACAAAGTCAGAAATTGCTTAAAAATAATCACAGCACAATTTTTAAAAAACATTCTCATCCAACTTGCTATTAATTATATTCCCCAAAAGATGTAATGGACTGATATTATCAGATATATACAAATAATTACAGGAAAGTAAAATGAAATCCTTAAGCATACAGTGTGTGATATATTATTTTGGATAGTAATATGGCACCTACTCCTTTTTATGTTGATAATATTTTAGCTTGTCATTTTTACTAGCATTTAGCACAGAGCATTTTATTGTTATGTGCTTTCATTTATCAATGCCAATTGGTGCCATATGCCACTTTAAAAAAACAAAAGGGCTTCTAATAGGTTTGTTTTGTAGAGTGAGTTCTGAGTTGGTCTCCAAGAAATTGAAACAAAAGGCATCGCATTTTCAAGGAGTATCAGTTAAACCACTTATGTATAGAACTGAAAATATTATATATGCCCTTGGCAACTTCATGTTTCAGCCACTTGTATGTATAATCTAATGAATGGTCTCAGAGTACATGGTTTTTGTATGACTGTTGAACCTAAGCACAGAAAATCATTGGAAGTTGCTTTGAGTTTCCTAAGGAAGGTATGTGTGTCTATTTGCATGCCTTCCTAGCCATTATTTCTTCCTTCCCAGCAACTATTTAACTGTTTCTGCTTCTCTTTATTATATAAGCAGCACTAAGTATAATCAATAAATAAGTACAATAAATATTGAAACGGGTTGACCCCTGAAGGCATACTCTTCCATTGTCTCCCTAGACAGATGGACGTCAACTACAACATCGACCTAGTTCAGATGTCAAAATAAACACAAGTGTATTACTGCCTCCAACTGTGGAGGCAGAGCACAACGGTCATGGCTAGTAGCCATGGATTGCCCTATTCTCCATGAATTTCCCTGCCCTCTTTTAAAGGCATCCAAGTTGGTGGCCATCACTGACTTTTGTAGGAGTGAGTTACATAGCTTTATTTTATCTGCTCTGAATCTTCCAACATTCAGCTTCATTGGATGTCCACAGGTTCTAATGTTGAGAAACCTTCATAGGTGTCAGGGGTTCAGGAGCAGAGGCACAGGAAAGGGAGGAAATAGAGAGCGAGGGGGAGGAGTCCGAAGGAAATGTTAGCGATGACAGTGGTCCGAGGTCTCTGAGTCTTTCCAGCGAATCGGAAGAT